AACGTGTCGCGGCTAACGCAGCACTAAAGCGCGAGAAAGGGGAAAAAATGTCCCTAAACTTAGGAACTGTCAAGTAAATAGCCAAGGAAATAACAAACAAGAAACTAAAACCAGAAGCTCCTCTCGCAGAAAGAGTATACTGAACTTTAAAAAAATGTCATGTTGTTAAGGAAGAGTTTTATTTCAGGAGCAGGAGGATCCGCAGCAAATAAGCTGTAGAAATACAGTCAGCACCTGCTGATTAATGCCATAGTCCACACAAAGTGATTTGCCTACATTCAGAATATCACTTTAAGAAACACCGACTTTCCAAATCTTAGGCACTCTGTCATGTTTGTTCCAGCGTAGTTACCTAAACGGTTTAAGCTGAACGTAATTTGTTTCCAGGCTTCCAGGACGCTGCTGCATGTACCACTCTGCTGGATTGGCATCTAATTGTTATTAATGGCAGACAAGAACAACAATATTTTTTATCTTCAATTTTCTTTTCAGCGTGTAGAGCGTCATTTTTCTTGCTTTATCGATCAACTAATAGTAAATTAAGAGAACCCACCTGTTCACGTGGGGGACCCGAAGGAACATAGCATCGGTGGGGGAGGGAGTTTGAGTAACGCAGTCAGACCTGTAAGGATTTGCGTTTGCGTGCATCGCCACCATGTTTGACAGATGATGCGGTTTGCTTGGGATAATGAGCGCTTCCTCTCCTTCCTCGTGCTCTTCTTGTTCCCTCGCTCATGCACACATTCAGCTGGAACTATGTTCCTAAACGTTCCCAGTGGACTCCGACCTGAGCTCATCTACATGCATGAAAGCGTCTCTCGACTCTGTCGAGGACACGCCTACTTCCTGGAGAGTCTTCTTGACTTGAGGTTTTTTGGGATTTCGTTCATTTTGCTGACCGCGCTCGTTCATAAGCACCAAACTGTGGCCTCTCTTAAGGTTTCTGCAATCATTGCAATTACTCCGAGTAAAACGCGCACGTCGTACGCAAAAACAAACAAAATGTGATCCGGTGCAAACACCCGATTGGCTGCGATTCAGTGAGTGTGGCGCTGCATTGTAGTGTGGCACAACCTTTTTGCCGCATGCCTCTGCATATTGCTGCAGCCTCTCCTGTGCCAATGCAGGCATCTCATTGAAAACTAATGAGGACTCAGTGTTTTATTCTAACAGCCTAAAGGTGCCACCATATACTGGATTAAAGCACAAGTAACCCCAAGGAGCATAATGAGGTTTCCTACAAAAGAAAAAACAGGAGCAAAGATTTGTCCTTAAGCCGTGGATCTAATCTTTACACGACGACGCTTTCCCGATCGTGACAGCGGACACTTAAATTGCATTTGGTAAATTCTTAAAAACACAGATCGGGATACAAGTCCCGACAGTAGCTAAAATAAAAGACGGAGCCCAAGCTTTGATCCCTTTAATGACACGGACGGCGTTTGATGTACAAACACAGCACCTCCTTGTTTCCGAGCTTCCTGTCTCTGCCGGACTGTTGACGTGTCGACAGCTTGCACGGGCTGGTTAAAAGGAGGACAGAGGATCTGGTAGTACATTCAGCTGTCATACCAGGAGGTGCATCCTCTTTTTTTCTTTTTTTTAGGTAACCAACCCCATTCTCCTTTAAAATGGGTGCTTAGAAGTTGAAAATTGCCAACATCAAGAGCTTCCTTGAATTAGGATGCCCTGCAATGCAAGTGTGTTATATAATGCCATGACTGGAGGGAGAGGAAAAGTAGAGCACAGGGGTAGAGATTAAAAAACTTTCTGCATAAAAAGAGAGGAGGGAGGAAGAGATGAGCATAAAAGGGAAAGGGGGGAGGGGTGGGGGATCGAGGGAGAGACAGAGATAGAAATATAGTGTAATGAAAAAGAGAAGGGCGGATTAGGTCAGGCAGGAGTGAGGGTTCACTCCTACAGTGGGAGCAGCCTTTGGGCCTGGCAGGCTGCAGGAGGCTGGTCAATCCTTCGGCTCTCTCAAGGCTCCTCTCTTTTTTCATTTAGATAATGGAGCATTTCCTTAATTGGCAGAGCGCAGTTTAGGCCGGGGTTTGTTTGCCAACACGTCAGAGCAGAATTATTTCCACTACATTTACAGCATAGTGTTGCTCGGCTCTCTCATTAAAACCGCAGGCTCCTCCTGCCCAGATAGGGTTTTTTTTTTTTTTTTTTTTTTGGAAATCTACAGAAGGAGGCCGAGTAGCAAGGAGGAAGAAAACACATTTATCTACCATCACACCATCCCTAGTCAGCTTGTCAAGAAAGAGACCGAAACTTCTCGATCTGTTTACCGTTATTGTTTTTCTCCAATCATAAAGACTTACTTCTGGTGCTTTTTTGCCTCCTTTCTTATCGAGAGACTTATGCGTCGAGCTCGCATGATCTGTATCTTTAAATTTGATTGAGGGTATTTGCAGGGGGTGTTATTGGATTTCGGCGTTATTGTCTCACCTTTTCCCTCTGTGTTTTTTAATGTTGGGATGGATATCTGCTTCAGCAGCACTGATCTCACCGTTCTGCTCATTAGTCTGGATTCGCAGACCTCGGTGCTTCGTAACAATAAGACACGCACTTCTGTAGTCCAGCCATTACCGAGTTTAACAATGTGCACCAGCCAGAAAAGTCCATTATTTCTGCAGCTCATCATCTCAAGCATCCATACGAGACAAAGGGTCTGTGAAACTGCTTCATTGCAAAGAGCCATCTATCACTTAAGTCAGGAGCAGAGACTACAAAATACACGTGGAACACAGCGCAAACCGAGCAGGAAGCATATGGATGGATCAGAGTTATACAAAGGGCGCGTGCTGCTAGTGACAGGGCTCTGCAACTTTATATATATATGAGTATATCTCCATCGGACTCAGCCGGCTCACCCTTACCTTTGTAAGACTTCACAAACACAGACGTAATCGATTCTCGGTCCAGTTCCTCAGAAATTCTCTTATTAGTTTGTGGTCAGTCGAGAAAACGTAGGCCTACATTTCAGTGTTGCTGCAATTGTTTTATGATCATAGAGTACAACTGTGCAACTGTCTAAAAACTCAAAGTGATAACCTTTATTTGTGGATTTCAGTGCATGAGATTATTCGGTGCAATTTCCTTTTTTTTTTGTCTTTTAAAGATGAAGCATCGACATCCAGGTCTCGACTGTCTTAAAGCACGAGCGTGTTCATTGGGTGTTGAGTAGATGTAGAACATCCATAACATAAGGTTGTTTCTGGGTCTGAAAAATGCCAGAAACCTGCGTTCTTCCCATTTTATTGATATGCAGCAATAAATCAAGTCTGTTTTGAGGTTGGCCAACTGGGTGATTCACAAGTAGCTACTGTACCAGAGCGCAGAGTTCGTGGTTTCTCAGTCAGATCCACTCATAGCTTGTGATGTCCAGTTTCAAAAAACCAAGACCAACAGAAGAAATGCTCAGAAAACAGTAGGCAACACCTTAGATTACGTTCAGTGACTAAGACTGTAAGTACCCTGTATCAAAAACTGAATTTCAAGGTATTTTATTTAAAATTACATATTTGTGTCGCCATCCTTAAAGGCAGGTGCACCAGAGGGTAACAAGTCAGATTTCTACAGGAGAGAAAGAAAGTCCTGTCAGCAGTTTGTTAGTAAATTTAAGTGTCGCCTGAGGGGAAGGAGGCACAGTTATACTGTTAGTGATTTTAAGTACTGTGTAATGTGTCTGCAATTTTGCAGAAAAACAAACAATACTATAACAGTACTATCTTACATGTAAAGTATACTGTACTCTTCAGACGCTGTTTTTCAAAGTTATGTTCGAACAGTGACTGTAAAAGAAAAGAAACTTCCACCTGGCTCATAATTATGAGGTCACATACTGTAGGCCTGCAAGTATTTATAGTATTTATTTTTGTATTGTAAGCTGGTAAAGGAGAACGGTCACATTTATATTAGTCAAATAAAGCTTTGGTCGTGCACATTATCATGAAGAAAATTAAATAAAGATATAAAAATCTGCCCTAAAGAGTAAAGCCAACGTACGTAAAATTACATAAAATTACTTACAACATATTTATTTCTTCTTTTACTGTAAAATTCTGACTCGGTGTCTGATTTTAGCATCAATATCTTTCAGTATTGGTATAGGTAATAATTTTATTGCATTTTCAAATAAAATACTTTGAAATTCTATTTAATTACACCCTTAGTCCTGGGCTGTGATACAAGTATTACCAAACAGTAAAACAGTCGGCGCCACGGGTAACTACATCCATCTTTTATCTACAGTTTATGAAAAACACTACTGACAGAGACATGTCTGTACTGACTAAAAGTACAAAAAGGTGCAAACAAATCCTTGTTCACATTGTTTTTCTCTGCTCACGGTTTTTCGTAATTTAAAGAAGATTTCTGCAGATTTATTCCGTTTATTTAGCCAGAGGCCGTGCAAGCCTCGAAAATAAAACTGCCTGAATCTGAAATTTCAAGGCGGCAGAAACAGAATTAGAGAAAAGTAATCTTTCTAAAACTCTTTAAAAAAGTCCACACGATAACCGGAGACAGAAACAAAGACGGGGGTGGCGAAGAGCAGGAGAGCTCATAAAGCAAAAAGTATGAAAGTGGAGCTTGGAGAGGGAGCAGCTGCTGGTTTAACAGACCTGTCATTGAAATCAAAGGCCCTAATCAAAATTTTATCAATTAATTGATCTTTCCTCCTGTGCTTTGCCACAAGTGCAATTGAGATTCCCCATGACTCTTGCCCCTCCAACAGCAAGCCATGCTCTACAACATAAACTGTGTTCATTAGAGAAGATCAAGGATTTCTCTAATATGAGCTGAGATGTGATATGATGGCTGTTTCCCCCCGACTTAGTTGGTGTGCAGGACATCTCTCCCTGGTTGCCTTCCATATCACACCAGGGATCTTTGCGCTTCTTTCATGCTGGTTTTACAAGTCAAACAACCTACTTTAAGTTTAATTTTAACCGTAGTTCTAACACCCGCCTCCTGCTGTGCGTTTTCCACAGGGTAACCAAGAGGCCACCAACCCCCCAGAAGCGATGGCCCAGCCGTACACCCCAGCCCAGTACCCGCCTCCCCCACAGAATGGCATTCCCGCAGAGTTTGCGGCACCTCACCCGCTCCCGACGCAGGACTACACCGGGCAGAGCCGGGTGCCCGAGCACGCCATGACCCTCTACACGCCCACACAGACGCACAGCGAGCCGGCCGGCACTGACAACAGCACGCCCGCCACCACGACCGCACCGGTCAGTGTCCTTCACCACCTGCAAACACTGTTCTCAACACGCTGTCAGCAAGTAAAATATCTTCATATTATCTTTTTTATCCGTATTATTATAACGTTACAAATGTCCGACTGTTCTTCCCGTGACTGGTTTCTTCCGTCTGCTTACCAGTGTGAGCTTAGCCAAATGCTGTGATTTCTCTCGACTCATTTCCTCTCCCTTGTTTCACTGAGAAGTGAGCCTGTTGTTTAATATTCAGTCAATATTTACATGATCTGTCCTTGCCTATAACTCTCCAGTTCTGCCCTCTTTGTATATTGACAGAAAAGTCTGTGTGCATGCAGGAAACTTTTTCAACAGATCCCAAATCACAGCATGTAAAGTCTTCAAACTTTTCGGCTCCAGTATAAAAACATTTTGGAAGTAAATGTGGCCTTGACAAGCACGATTCAAATAACTGGAACCAAATAACATGTAACGTACGGAAAACTGAGGAAAAACTGGTGCAGTTTGGAGCATAAACTCTCATTCAGAAGCACGACCCCTTAAATCGCTGCAAATTAAACCCCATGTTTGACAGAAGAATAGTACAGCGGCAGTAAATCAGAAGTCAAACCTAAGAAATGGTCAAAACAAGATTGTAAAAATTGTTCAAAGCTTAAAAAACATCAGTCCAAACATCTCACAAATAATTAGGTCACTGGCAAGAAGTCAGCAGCATGACTGGATACATAAAAAGTATCCTAGAGAGGCTCAGTCTTTAGAAGGGAAGAAGGGGAAGATGATAATGTATCTCAGGAAAATGCTGCAAAGAATTTGGCAATTTCGTTCTGTTATGTACCATAGATGATGAAAAGATTAAGAGCATCAAGAGAGATCTCTGTACGCAAGGGACGAGGCTGAAAACAATTTCATTTTCAATATTGTAATCTGCAATCTGCATTATAAACACATCTGATTCTGAGGTGCAAATCACTGCATGGGCTCAGGGGCACTCTGTGAATACAGCGCGGTGCTGCGGCCATAAATCCAAAAGTCTACCATGCAGGGGAAACACGGTGGTACTGTAACAGCAGCAGAAGAACATATTAACATCATATATCACACACACATGTTATGTGCATTTCTGGATTTGTTGATAAAAAGATCTCCCTTCCTCAACCGATCAAATAACTTCTACACTGGCTTCTTCTCTTTATTATAACGTGTGCTAAAGTGGTTCTTAGTGCAGGATTTGCATTGCCTTCATTACTGTCAGTGATTGTGATTGAATATTTCCTAAAGTTAGGAGTATAAAGTGTACAAAGGAAGCTGCTATTGTGCAAACAAATGGGTTTTATTCTGCTGAAGCACACGTAACACTGAGTGGGTGTGTTAACAGTAAATTTGTGGTTTGTACTAAGAAAATGATTTCATCTGTTGTATGAGCAGCTGATGAGCTCAGAAATGAAGCTAACTCACAACCCTAAAAGCTGCAGTTCTCCAAATGACCACTTGAGGCTGGCTCATGAAATATATGCATAATAAAAGATGGAGCTAAGCTTACCAATAGGGATGGGTATCATTTAGGTTTCATCTGATACCAGTACCAAACCGGTACTTTTGAAACGGTGCCGGTGCTTGAACGGTGCTCAAACCGGTGCTTAAAGAATGGAGAACACAAAATTGGTCCAAAAACCTCTCATGTTCAGCTGTTTTTTTTGTAAAAAGATAACAATGTTAGCCTTTTCTGCAGCTATGGGGCATATATGGTATCACTGTTGGCTGGAAGCTTAAACAATGGAAAAAACACAAACTTTGTCCAAAATCCTCTCATGTTCAGCTGTTTTCCACTTTTTCTTTGGTCATTTTAGCCTTTTTGGCCAGGGTGAAGGGAGTATCTGCCATCAAACAAGAGGACAGCCGCATGTAGCTATGATGATGTTTGCTAGTTCACCTTACATGCATTAATGTAATAACGTGGTTAGCCTACTCAACGTAAATTACACACGAACAACATTAAACTACTCACGCAGAGAAGAACGGCTGCTGCTGCATCATCATCCTCATCATTTCTGCTACACTGGCAGGGCTAGGGGCCAGGACTCTCCTCTTCGTGTTTTTGGGGGATGTTGCTCCGGGTCCGATAACAGGCACCACACCCGCAGTAGATGCGCTCGGTGTGAGGTCTCGCAGCAAGCTATCAAATATGGTGCATTTCTCGGCTTTTAAAAAAAACGCTATGCGTCGCCAGATTCGAGGTGTTACCTCCTTTGACAGTATCACAGTATCAGCTTAAAGCACTTGTTGCTGCTGAGTTTGCATCTTTTGCTGTGAAGTACAGCCAGACTTTGACCGCTTCGCCTTGGACATTTTTAATCTGTAGCTCTGCTCTAAAAGAACGTACGTACCTGGACCCGCCTACTATCCTTGGAAACGTAAAATGATTGGCTAGAATTCAAAGTGTATGACATCTCAGGAAAAAAAAGCACCGAAATGTGCGCTGCTTTTCGGTCTGGTTACTACCGTTTATGTCAGAACCGGTACCCATCCCTACTTACCATAATTAGAAAACAAAACTAATTTGACCAAAATGAGTTCCTGAATCTATAAAATCTGCAGGAGAGTGTTCACAGAGGTCACGAGAGAAAGCAGCTTCCAGTAGATGTTAGTAGGTCTACATACGCTTCAGTGTTAAAATACCCAACTTTAGACTGTTATTGCTTGCTTTTTAGGTCTGTCTAAGACGTCTGCAGTCCAGTTTTAGTGTGAGGACTTATAGTATTAGTCTGTTATTTGGACTTATCAGCAACTGCGTGTTTGGTTGACTAATACTGTTTTGGAAAGCAGGCTGGTGACTAAACTCGCTTGCTTTCTCATATAACTACATGAATTTGTCCAGTTATCATAATATCCTGTTCAAAAAAAAGTATGTATAGCAAAAAAAGCCAGCCCAGAATGAACCACATGTGAGATTATCACTGCTACACCCATGTTTTGTATACTGTCTATGAGCTGAATGCACCAGAATCCTGTAATTACCCGTTCTGGCCACAGAGGTCACTGTTTCTACTGTTCAGAAAAAGCTGCATATTCTTACTTTAACATGCAAATCTGGCCTATTTTTGTTATTGTAACATATTTGCATTTTTCAAAAGCCTTAATTAACTTTTTCTCTCTCTTATGTTTACATAAGTAGTAAGTGAAATTTTTGGCCCCAACCCTTGTTGCCCATTTTTTTAGGTCATTTTTCTTCCCCCCCTCTTTTTTCAGACACTAATTTGAATGTTTCCTGCATCACAGACACAAAAACAGCCCGTGTTATTAAAAGGTGAGGGTTAACAGTGAGAGTCGCACGGCTGCACATTCATGTGCAGCAGCAGGCTTTGATGTTCAGGCCAAGCTCGGCGCTTGACGATGGAGGCGAATTTGACTGAGAATGCGCTGCTAAAATGAAAGCGCATATCTGAAGAACCATTAGGGGGCTCCCAGAAAAACATGTCAACCTGAGCTGTTTTATTTATTTGCGTGAAGGAGATTTGACATGCTTTCGACATGAATGATTCAGGCTCTCTGAAAGGAGGACACGCCCTCCCCCACTTGTCTTCTTCTCCCTCCGTTAAAGGAGCAAAAGAAAGAGATGCACTTTTCTCCAGCAGCCAAAACCAACAGCTGCTTAGTGAAATCAGCTAATTATCTGTAACTACACCTGGGCGTTTGAGATTTTTCTTTCGAACATAAGACACCGTCGTCTGTGCCAGGACATGATAATGCTCCTGTTTTCACTCCATCATGAGAGTGCATGCCTCTAAAGCGTTGGCACTCGAAGGAGAAAACAAACCTCTGGCAACGGATTGTGAGAGAAATTCTAAATTATATAGCATACACTTCGTTCTTGTGCGCTTACATAAAATGCCTTGACCTGAGATTTACCTTCACAAGGGATAGATGCAGATAAAAGGGAGAACGCTTAGCTTCGAACTTAAGAGGCGCGTCTAGAAAGACGGATAGTGCCGGCAGAGATGAAAAAAGCGGGACCTGCGTACCTCTTTTTCTCCTTTAGTATGAAAACACCTGCTGCTAGAGGTCAGCGTGAGGCCACAGCCCTGCTGAGAGGCATCGAGGTCGCTCATGAAGAGCACCTTTAATAACTCGATTTTTCCCAGCCTCACAATTACAGCGCAGCCATGAATATTTGGGGGCAGAAAAGTGCTTATACAGCATAAGCAGGGCGATAGCACTGCACGTCGTATCATCATCGGCCTGTAATGTGGCAATGTTTGATTTGAAGATTTGTGCGACGCACTCGGACCGCTCTGTGGTTATGCGCTGCACTTACAGTAATGGCTGGGACACGAGAATTTAAAGTGAGGAGAGACTTGGCAGGAGGTTTAGTCTCCTCCTCCTCCTCCTTCCCACCACTCCCCTCCGCTCTCTATCGCTCGCCGTCTCCACTCTCTCTCCATTTCGCATTTGATTTCATTTCATCTGTTCACCCGCTGTGAAGAGAGCCCAGTGATGGTGGCCATGGAGAGATGAGAGCTCGCCTCATCTTCCTTCATGTTCTCCCCTTCTCGCGCGATCTTCATTCTCTCCATCCACGCTCTCCTCACTTCCACCCGTCTTTTCTCCGAGAGGACGGAGGGACGAGATTAGTGGGGTGTAAACAGAGAGTCTAATCCCCGGGGCTGGTGGGGTAGTGTCGCCCACCGCTGCGTTCCCCAGCTTTAATGACAGACCCAGCCTGTTTGCTGTGGGTGTCACAGACGGGCCCGGGCGCCTTTGATTAGGGCACCCTGCAGAAACACAGATTGAGGGAGCAGATCAGCTACTCGCTGCGAATCTCCCCCCTAAGTTCCTCCTCCCTTGACTCGACTCTGCTGCGCTCAGCTCCTCTACCCCACGACGATGCTTTACTCTGCACATCTTCTCGACTTAAAGACTTAAAAAGAGTCAAGAGAGAGAAAATTCAGTGAAACGTATGGATTCTGTGCGAATTCCCTGCAGAGAACGGAGAGTGTGTATGTTTTAATGAGGCAGGGGGACTGTCTCCACTTCTTTCTCTCTGCTTCTGTGTCTCCAGTCCACCGTCT